TCGGGCGGACGAATGGTCGAGCGGACGAATGGTCGGGCGAGCGAATGGCCGGGCGGGCGAATGGACGTGCGGACGAATGGTCGGGCGAATGGTCTAGCGGGCGAACGGTCGGGCGGGCGAATGGTCTGGCGAATGGACGGACGGGCGAATGTTAGGGCGGGCGAATGGTCGAGCGGGCGAACGGTGGGGCGGAAAGGCCGGCGGACGGAACGGCGAATGATGAGGCGAGCGAACGGTCGGGCGGGTGAATGGGCGGATGGAAGGGCGCCGCGTCACCGGGCGCCGCCGCCGCCGCTGCCGAGAAGATCGAGCGGCCGCCACACATCGATCGCCCGCCGCCACCCGCAGTCGACGGCGCGCCGCCGGCGCCGCCGCCGCCGCCACCGCCACCGCCGCTTCTCCATGCCCGCTTTCTTCCTCGTTCCGCGCGCCCACTCCTCGCCCTCCCACGAACACCACCCTCTCCTCGCCACGCCAACGAACGCGATCGGAGCCACCAACATTTTCCACAAATCCTTTTACGAGTACTTTTACAATATTCGTGTGACTTTAGAGGGTTTTTTCTTATGTTTTTGGTTTGTTTTTTAAAAGTTGTCGAATTGTTCTTGAGACAGAAGGCAAAAAAAAAATTTATCTATATTTTTCGCAACGTAGCTTCCCTATTCAGCGCCTGCGAATACTATCATTCGTATCACCTACTAGAAGACTATTGATTCATGGGCGGCCTCATCGAAAGTGATTCTGATTGCTACTCTGAGTATTATTAAAGAGATCATTCAGCGTTTACTTCACTCCATTTCTACCACCACTAATCCCGCACCCGGATCCTGCCTTCCCGTCACTACCCGCTCTCTCCGATGTGGATGATAGCCTCCCTCTCTCCGACGTGATGATGATATTTGCTGCAGAGTAATCGTGTGTATCTCGAGAAAAACAATTGCATTTCCACTTCGTGTTGAGATGTTTGAGTTCCATTCTGAGTGCGGTTTAACTGCCCCAACAAATGTTTAAAATGTAATCAGATACATTTTTTCTCGAAATTTCCCCAAGCTCGCATTTTTTTTCTCATTCCGCGCCTCCACGTTTCGTTCTTTTCGCCACGCTATGGAAAATCACCGTCAGAAGGTTAGAATAATTGATAGGTTCTTTATCAAAATAATTGAATTTTGATATTTTATACTGAGATAGGGAATTTCTATTTGTGTTCGATCTAAATGACCGAACAATTATATAAAGTTTCAATTTATTATATAGCTTTTAAATTTTCGTCATTTATATGCGCTTGATTTACTTCCCAATCGGTGCCCTAAGCTCCTTCGTTCCCCCACAAACATTACCCTTCTCACCAAGCTGTGGAATACGACAATAGCGATCTGGTCTTATGATCTGCATATGACTCAAAGAAATGTTTTACATTTCGATCGAGAAGTGGGATTTTTGCTTTAAACTTTAGGCCAACAAACATATGAATCGCTTTGTGCAGAACCCCCCCCCCTTGTGCATTTTTAAAAAAGATTTAGACATATGGTGATCACACGATATAATATACGCAAAGATGCATCGCCTAGTACAAAAATCTCTCACGTTCGCCGCGATCTGTGGGTGTAACCTCTGGCTAAGGCTGTGGTGCAGAATCGGGTGTAAAATAATTCAGTGTTTTTTTCCTTCTGAAAAATCGTTTACTGTTTTCCCTTACCCGTGAAAAACTACATCCTTCCCGGTTCGAATTGGTCTCTCATCTATGTGCCGCTGTCTCAATTCCGAACATGTGTCTCCATTGCCTCATCTATGTGCCGCTGTCTCAATTACGAACATGTGTCTCCATCGCTCTTGATGCCGTGAGTTCGAAAGCACCTCTTCCACTTTCGCTGCCCTCCCCCCCCTTACACACACATACACTTTTCAGGTTAATTAATCCGCACCCTCTTGTTCGTCGTATCATGCTTACACAACGTCCTCCCAAAGCGCCAAACCTTTCCGTATGGTGAAGGGGGCAACAGAATTGTTGTATCCTGCGTTACTGACCGAACGCCTTCTTGGGAGAACAATTCTCAGACTTCGCCTATTATTCCTAGAATCCAATTTCTCTACATGGTAGAAACTCGCCCACGTCTCGCAGAAACTCGTTTCAAAAGACACGCAATCTAGTTGCATTTCTACCTTTGCTTTTTCGCTTTACTTTACGAGAGAAATTCACTCTCAATTTCTCATCCAGTGACATTTAAAACATGACGTCCATGCAGCACCGTTATGAGTTTTCAAATTGGCCTGCGACCCCGTCTGTAAATTGCCCAATCACTTGCCTTTAGAACTTTTAGAAGGAAATGGGCGCGACGAACCTCGCTAATGACACTTGTCAAATGTGGAATCATATCTGTCATATGCGTTTCCATAACTTGTATCATTAACATTCTGCATCTCATTTTCAAGAGAATGAATGCCCTTAACCCGCGCGTTTTATGGTCAAAACCGGGCCTTGTACGATGGTTCTTAGCCATTTTCTCCCTTCACGGGTCAATCTTCAGTCATATGCGTTATTTACTTTGTCTACGCCTGCCTTTTCATTTCCTCGAGAAACCTACTATCGCCATAGCTCTAACAACCTGGGGCGGTTTGGGGGTTATGTCCCTCTTAAAAAATAAAATAACAAAAGCGCAGAGAGCAAGTTGAAACTCGGGGTTGATCAATCAGAAACAGAGTTGTAACCTTTTCTTACCTTTAACCTTTCTTTCTAAGAATGTGCCGGCAGGAGCGGCAGACGCTCTCGCCCATTCTTTGCTACGTGTGGTTTCCCGAAAGGGCCGCGAGTCGCGTGTTGCGGAGGGCCGACGGCGCCCTCGCCCCGCGGGAGGAGAGCCCGCAGCGGCGGCGGCGGCGCAGCGGGGCGGTGGGCGCGCGAAAGAAATCGGGGAAACAGAGGAAGGTCACGTTGCGAGCCGCGGGCGCACGCGACGACGCCGGCGGTTCGATAGAAAGGCCGACGACTCGTCCCGCGAGGGCGCGGCGCGGGTGGGTGGCAGCGACGGCGGCGGGCGCGGCTGTCCGTCCGAATAAGGAACGCGCGAGCGGCCGCCGCCAGTCACGCACGCCACGGGGCCCACCCCCCAATCAATGGCCGGCGCGTGCGGGGGCGTGCGCCGGCTACGCTCGCCGGCCGGTCGCACGCACTGCGGCGCGGGGTGCCGGCCCCTGCCCCGCGCCGTGACTCACCCGCGCGGCCCGGCCCCGCCACCGCACGCCGCGCCGCGCCGCTGCGCTGGTGGCTGGCTGGCTTGGCCTGCCTGCCCTGCCCGCCCCGCGGGCGCGGCGCCGCACGCGCGCGACTCGTCCCATCGCACCCGCCCACCCTCGGGCGAACGCCCAACGCGTTACAGCAGCCTCTGCAGGAAGCGACAGCCTCGATCTTGATAACGAGACCACCGGAGCAGGGAATTCGAAAGCGCCGCTGCGTCAACACGACGCACAAAACGAATTATAGAGCAAAGCGTGTGTTCCACTTTGAACGATCCGAGAACCCAGCGACAACCCTTCTCCCGCACGTCCCTTAATCTTCAACTAAATATTAACTTATTTGCAGCGAAAAGCAACTTTATATAACATCAACATGATATTAATCTGAAAGACTTTGGCATGTCTGCAGAATGCCTTTCATCGATCCGCGTACTGATATTTCCATATGGCACTTGTTTCCATAAATAAAGAGAACTGTTCACTCTAAGAGCTAAAAGTGGATAAAAATATTAGTAGTAACTTACCGATGAAGATTCAAAGTGGGATGCGTATGGTTCGCGCAAAATAACAAGCACACAACCACCTCAGACACAAGTCACTTCGCGATTAACACTGATTTCTCCGACCTTCCGTAGAGAGCAGCACAGGAGACATCGTGCAATGCTGCCAACATTGATAACTTTCTTCACAATGCACTATGATATTACGGCGCAGAATCACAATATACAATTATAGACTCATGTAAAAATTGAAGTTCCAATTGTTGAATTAAATTTGTTTATGAGTTTATAAAATATTTTGCTATCAATATACGTTTCCATGCGTTCTTCTTTGTTAGCTATATTTGTTACATTGACATGTAATGAATTACAATTTAGGGAATTTGTGTAACACTCAGTTTCCACCGTACAATCATTATAAGTATCTGCGATTCTGTGCTGGAAGGTAGAGTGATGCATGTTGTCTCTTATTTAAAGTAACAGTTTGCATCGTCTAATAATATTTACCCCGTTCATCGTGTGTCTTTTATCACATTCTACACAATGAATAGTGGTGAAAATGACTGCCTTTCTCTGGACGAAGCATTGGAATTTGAAGATGAATTGAACCGGGAAAACAATACTTCTGAAGTCAATGACAGGCAATCAAAATGTGCTTCTAGTGCAGTTAATAAAAGCTCTTCTTCAGAGAATGATGTTGCCAATGAATTTCTGTCTCAAGAAGAAGTTCTGGAGTTCGAAAATGACATGATTCTGGATACTGAAAAAACTCCTGAAAAGAAAGAGTTAACACTAGCACAGAAAGCTCGAATAGAGAGAAATAGACAAAGAGCAAAAATGATCCGACAGGGTAAACTAATTGCTCATCCATATGCTAAAATGTATGTTGTTTCTACATGTGTCTGAAAGTATGATATTTATACTGTCAGCTCTTTATTTGATGTGAAATGTGTTTCAGCGACATGTCACCAGAAAAAACTGTTATGAAAGTTACCAGTACCAAACTTATAGATACTGGAGGAGGGTTTCTACTAGAAGAAAATGAATCTGAAAAAAAGATAGATGCTGTTAGTCTACCTCTGTTTTTGTTTTTTACAAAAGATGCTAACGGATGTTCAATGAAGTATATTGTAAACATTGTTTCTTTTGCAGAGGACAATAACAGAACTTCCTGGCCCCATATTGAATCCTGGACAGCCTACTTGTCTTGAATGTCAAGAAAATTTCCCTGATTCTTATCTCTATCGTTCTTTTGACCATTCAGTATGTGATAGTTGCAGGTATGTGAAAAGTATTTTCAGAAATCAAGAAATTACATAGTATACATTTTGTTTCTTCTTCACATTCTCTCTTTCTTGCATAATAGGGACCATGAAGATAAGCATTCTCTCATACCAAAGACAGATGCCAAGTCCCAGTATTTGCTTCAGGATTGTGATTTGGAAAAACGAGAGCCTCCACTAAAATTTGTATTGAAGAAGAATCCACACAATCGTTTTGGAAATATGAAGCTTTACTTGCATCTGCAGGTAAGATACAGTAACTAAATATAAAAATTGTATGACGATAATGTAATACTGTCAGTTGACAATAAAACAAATTAAAACTAACAATAATCATAATGGATATAGAATTGATATCTTCTTTTAATGGCCTGTAACAAGGTGGAGAAACGGGCTTTAGAAGTATGGGGATCAGAAGAAGCCCTTGCAGAAGAGCATGAGAGGAGAGAAGAAAAACGTAGTGTAGCCAAGATCAAGAAGTACAACAAACAGCTAAAAAGTATGACACACTTAAATGTAAGATAATATATCTGCCATATGAGATTATTTCACTAATTGGATAATTTTTTATTTGCAGGTCTTCGAATGAATGTAAGGAGCAGCTTGTACGACCGGACCACTAAAGCTACTCATGAACATGAATTTGGACCAGATTCATATAATGCAGATGATGACACATACACTCATTCTTGTAAAACCTGTGGGTTTGAGGAGACTTTTGAAAAATTGTAGTGATTTTTTTTTTTTTTTAGAATCTGAAATTTGCTGGTCAAACTTCAGAAAGTACTTTTTATTATTTTTTTTATTCTTTAATGTGTGGAATGAGGAAACCAAGTTTATAGAACTCGTGTGCAATGTCTTTATGAAATTATATCACCACAATAAATGTTTTTTAAAAAAAATAAGTGTGGTGCAAAGGTGGCTTTTAATGAAAAGAATTATGGCAAATCAGAAAGATAAAAGTATTTTTTTGAATAAATCAATCCAATATTGTTTTCTCATCTGATAATCAATGAAGTCAGATTTAAAATATTTCATCCATTACTGCTAAATAAACCACTATCTTTCATTGGCAACCTAAACACCTTTTTTCCATTAGAGAATTTAAAAATTTAAGACAAACTTTTATTTCACTACTAATACTTATTAGGTCAATTTGTATTTAAATTACCATTAACCCCCCCCCAATAAAACAAATATTCACCAGTGGCGAGGCTTAGTACTTTTGCACGGTCATCACTACACACACACCCATTCAGTGGGACCACCTTTTTTGGAGTGACGGGATAAGAGTCATCACTTCCAAAAAAATACCTGCACAACGGGTATTTAGTGATGACAGTGCAAAAATGCCATGTTTTGACACGGGTTTTTGCACTTCATGATTAGTCCTCTGGGCTCCTATAATTGCTTCAAGGTCTTACTTGTTCATAAATACAACCATATTGAAATTCACTATTATACATTTCAGATCAAATTTGAACATTAGCACTCACACAAGTGAAACTTGCCCACCACTAATATTTAGATAAATCTGCTGAAATTTACAACTGTAAATTAATAAGTTGCACCATTCTAAAAATAAGTAAGAATTAAATATTTTCTAACATTGGAGTCTGGGACAAAGTCAAAACAATTTACTGGCTGTGAGAAAACCATTACTTAACTGGAAATGCATGGAAGGAGGAAATATGGGAAATTAAAATGATGCCCAAATTTGAACCTTGCAATTTAATACCAACATTTCCAAAGAAATGTTTTTGAATCTAAGTTATATGTGGACACAAGGTAGAAAAACAACCATGCAGAGAAAATAAAATAAGTTTATTTCTGAACTTAAACACATTTGATAAACATCTTAAAAAATTATTAAATACAAATATGTACAATAAAAACATTGGGAACATGATACAGTCCTGGGGAGCTTAATAAAATACTGAACTGAGAATGATGCTCCATAAAATACATTATGCAGTCATGACTTGTGAACAGCTAAATCAAGGGATAATAACTTATTGCAATCTACTTTGTACAGGGAGTGACGAGGCACCAGGGTTTAAGCTGGGAAGTGATGAAATGCTACCAATGACTATTTCATTCTGAAATTCAACAGCATCATCACCATCTTGATATTGTATGAAGTGCTACACTTACACATCAGAATTCCACCAATGATAGTACAACTGTTTGCTCCGAGAGTAAACGTGTATTTTGTAACAAATCTTCACATTCACACATATTATGCAAATTTAAAAAGTGTAGGCACAAAGTAACATAGTAAGCATACACTGACACAATGGAAGCGCATGATTCTCACATCAAACTTACTCTATAAAGCGTAGATTAAAGTACCAGTTACAAATGAGAAACTAGCACAGTAGAAAAGAATGGTATGTGAAGTATCATGTGGTCTTAAAAACGTTTTATGAATAAGCTGTTAAATCTGTACAAAATAAGTGAATACATGACAGTTGAAGAGATATATTGGCAGTACATTCCTCCAAATATTATTTGCCCAGACAATTGCCCTGTGCTGACATGATATGGAATGGAGAGGGAGGCTCTATTACTCTTCACAAGGATTCAGTACCATACGATACGTGATACATCATCTTTGATATGTAGGACAAAGTGTCACTGTCCTAGCTGGTTATAAACCAGCAATCGAGCAAAATAAAGAATAACTTGTCACCAGACACATGGAGAGATGAAATAAAATTCTTAATCACTTCTTCAGGACTTGCTTTTTGCAGTATCCAAACTCACTCCTTTTGGTAACTGAGTGACTGATGATCTGCAATTTTAAAGAAACAAAGTTAGTACCATGGTGGTAAGTAAAACATATACTGTAACCAAAGCAAGTATTTAATTAAAATCTTGATGTTTTGTTTTCATCCATCAGCAATCTGAATTAATAAAAGGATTACACTCTCTGAAAATAAAATCTAAGATTAAGAAAGGAAGTTACTCAACGAAAGCTCAACTTAGAGGAACCAGTTGGAATGCAGAATATTAGAGAAAAAGTATAACTGTTTTTTCCTGCTATTCCATAATCAATTTATTTTGAGAGGCTATGTCACTTCTACTGAAAAGCTTGTATGTAATTCTAAAATTATTAGGTAGTGATCTTAAAAAATATATTTTCAAATTCAATTATAGAAAGTCACTAATCTCTTCAATCAAAACATGATCAATAAATATTCAAATTTTTTATTCAATTACGATGAAAAACAATTTTTTTTTAAGTGACAATCTAAAATATTTTTACAAAAAAAAAAATCATTAATCAATCATGATCTATACGTGTATCTATTTTCATCCTAATGTAAATATAAGGAACGTACCGATTGTGCGTTAAATGGCTGCGAACCAAGTGGCCAGCAGTAAGTGCAGACATCAATGAAAGCTCTCCAGCTAAAACTGTTGCACAAACAATGCGAGCCAACTGGACAGCATTCTCTCCAGGGCAGTCTTCATTGGCACCTCGCACACCAAGGAGGTCGAGGCAAGCGCCCTGAGGAGCCAACACTGTGCCACCTCCCACAGTGCCTATCTCAATGGAGGGCATTGTGCAGGAGATGTACAGATCCCGTCCATCTTTGCCCCAGGGTTCCATAAGCGTCATGCAGTTGCTGCTGCCCACTACTTGGGCAGGGTCCTGAAAATTACAAAACACAATTTTGCAGATTCTAGACAAGTGAAAATTAAAAAGAATAAAATATTTCTTAAAAAAAAAAAAAATTTGTAACAGAAGTAAAATAATTGGGAGCACATAAATCATTCCTAAATAATATAGCAAAATAAAGAAAATATAGCAAAAAGTTCATTAGGAGCTTAAAGTTTTTAAATTATGTATTTGTAATATACTTGTACTAAAAATATTATGTAATACTTTTAAATACAAAAAAATTATTAGTAGCATTCAGCACAAAACTACAAGTAACCCTCAAGGTGGTTTCATTTTCATATATAATTTTGCAGATGTGATTAACGTATTCAAAGAATTCAAAGTTTGCAGGGCTCCTAATCTAATTGTGTGCTATAACTGAAAAATACATTTTAAAATTACTGATATAAGAAAAAGTACTTCTGTAACAATGTATCTATACATTTTTAATGGATCTTTTAAGTACAGATGGGATAGGCATCGTCACATTATATTTCATTGACAACCCAGAGGTCAGCCCTGAATATGTAATGTTCGCTTCAAAGTATGAAATCTTATTTGCTATTCCAAAACAGAAGCTTATCACAAACTGCAATATACAAGTTAATTACAAGTTTATACCTAGACAAGATATTTTTTTCAACAAAATAATGGAACTAAAACATTTGTAACATTTGCTAAATTTCACTACCTGCATGGACTGATCAAGTATGTATCTCAAAATATAATAACATGTGTGTGCATCAAATCTCCAAAATAGTTGAAAATCATAAAATAAACTTAATACATTTTGATTCATCTAGGAAAGTGTGGTAAAGACAATAATTTTTAATATAATTCAATCATTTCTGTCAAAAAAAGATATTTGCATCAAGTCAATGGCTGACACAAGAATTAGCAAGTGAGAAAATTATTAAATACATTATATGGAAAAACAATGGGACAGTTTGTACCTTAAAAATAAAACTACACATCTCTAAAATGTTATTGTAGACCTTCTGTGGCTTGGTACAAGAGGGGCCAATGTCAATATTCGAAGGTTTACAAAATGGGTGATTTTCTTACACCATTTAAATGACAAAACAATTATAGGCCAAAGTAAATCAATGGGAAATTACATGATGAGATCAACTGTTGTCCTTGGCCTGCGTTGCAGGAGCTTTCAAGCAATCATTGGTCATACAAACCGAAAATCACTAAAAACTTTAATACAAATATGGAATTTAAAATTAAGATCAATTGAGTTGTCTATTCAAAAGTTTAACAACCACCAATTTATATTATATTTTCTTATTTCAAAAAAATTTAAATTCTGCAAATTTTAGCATGGGTGTAAGAGGTAATTAAATGATGACAAAAATTAGGTAGGTTTTAATAAATTAAATCCAAAACCAAAACTAGTTTCTTGGGACGATTTCTCTCATCATCAGTGGATTTTTTACACCAACTAAAAGAAGAAAATTATGGATCTAAATTGACAAAGGAATACTTATACCACTATTAAAAACTAAATTCCCTTCTTCAAAAATTTTTATTCATAATATTCATTCTTTTTAGTTAATGTTTAAAAAATCCACTGAAAACTGGATAAGTTGTCCTGAAAACAAGTTTTGGTTTTGTATGTGTATCATTTGTTAAAACTTCCTCAATTTTTGTTGTGGTTTGTATAACTCTTGCATTCATTCCAATATGAACCATGAGATTTCCGATGCCACCACTTAATACGTTCTGCAACTTATCTGAATTTTTCAGATTGTCAACAACCACATAGTTTTAGGCATGATGGTTATATAGTGTACAAAATACTAGTATTTTAGGCCAATGTTCAACAATTGAATGAATTGTGAACAATTAATTGATGCATTCAGTGTAATAATGGCATGCCCCAATCAGTTTGTTTTGAGAAAAATGACTGGCTGTTTTCATTCATGTTCATTTTCACTCCAGACAAATTTTTGAAGGTGGAATTTTAGGGTTTTGCAATATCCCAATTCATTTGATATTTCAGAAAAGGATAGGTATATGGCAGGAGTTTAACATCACACTTCTAAATGAAGATTTAAAATGCAAGTCGGTTGTGATCTGCCATTTTTATCCTGAGCGTCTCAATTAATTATTAATATACAACTGATTTTTAACAGTATCTCCTCCTTTACTAATAGATTTCCTATTGGTTTTCATTTCACTTAAAGAAAGTAAATAAATAATGCACAAATGATTTTAAATATTTTCTGTCAATACAGAAATTCAAGAAATAACAATTATCCACATGTACTGGAAGAGATGAAAAGTGACAACTGACTATTTATTAAAAATTTACAATCATCTCTTTATAGAAAATATTATACATGCTCCTCTAGAGTAAATAAATCCCAAGCACATTTTTAAATGTTATCTGAGCATGGTAGTGACATAATGGCCTTGGAAAAAATACTTGCCTCTCTTGTGCATCATTTATTAATCTTTCACTGGTTAGATAGTTACAATGAATAATAGAGAAATATATCTTACCTGGCCAGTGGCAATGAAAATAGCAGTCACAAGATTAGCAGCATGAGCATTAAATCCACCAATGCTGCCAGCTACAGCTGATCCAATCATGTTCTTGCTGATATTTACATCAACAAGGGCTGCAGTGGAGGTTTTCAACACAGTTTCCACCACGTCTGCTGGGACAACAGCTTCACATACAACAGACTTTCCACGGCCCTCAATCCAATTGACAGCAGCAGGTTTCTTATCAGTACAAAAATTGCCACTCAGACTTAAGATTTCCATATCAGGAAAGTGTTTTTGGACATACTTCAAAGCAACTTCAGTTCCCTGTAAAAATTACTTTAGATTCAGTTTGATGCCATTTATGAAAGGAGAGAATAAAATGACACGAAAAATTGAAATTGACAACTCACCTTAGAAAGCATATTCATGCCCATGGCATCTCCAGTAGTTGCAACAAAGCGGATAAAAAGATGACGTCCAGCAATGCAAATGTGCAACTTATTCAAACGTGCAAAGCGACTAGTAGAGTCAAAACTTTTCTTCATTGCTTGAAAATTCTCAGTAGACAGCATCCATAATCGAGCCTCACTGTTAAAAAATTGATGGATTAAGACACAAGTTGTTCAACTATTTTTTGTATGCATTCAAAAGATAATGATAAAATAATTTAATACCTAGCTCTTGTAATAGACTCAAAACGAACTACAGGACCTCTTGTCATGCCATCAGCAACAACACTGGAACGAACACCTCCTCGAAGCAAGGCACGGCATCCTCTGTTGGTGCTAGCAACAAGACAACCCTCAGTAGTGGCCAAAGGCACATGGTACAATGCATCGTCCAGCTTGAGAGGACCTGCGATTCCCACTGGAACTGGTACGTAGCCAACAACATTTTCACAGCAAGCACCCATTACCTGGAATAAAACATCCAAATAAAATTGGCTGGCCCTTAAAGTCAAGTTCAACTAAATATTAAATTATCACAAAATATGATGAAATGGTGTGATGGGAAAAGGAGAGGGAAACAAATGAATTAAGATCCCGCATTCACAATACAAGGAATGGTAAGGAACACATTATTACAGTCTGTCATTACTTCATTTTCATTAAATAACTTTCCCCCAACTTACAAAAACACATGATAAAAAAAAGTTATCAACTATTAAAAAATGCACAGACTCAATATCAAAAGATGAAATGAGATCGGTCGATATTAAAGAATTTGAATATTAAATACATACAATATCTATAGAAATAATTTCCAATTAGCACTGAAATTGGAAGAAAATTATGTCACCCTCTGGCCATGTGAGAGGTGTCTATGGTGTTATTACATCCCCAGAAATTCAAGTAAACTCCATGAACAGTTAAAACAATTTTTGATTTTGATTAAAAAATGCAAATATTTGTATTATTCCGTCCACTCATACAGCACATATTGACTGAACACTCATTACTCAGTGTGTCACTGCTTCTGACACAGCTGACATCATGAGAAGCAAGACTTGAAGAGGCCACCATCCATTAAATATTTGCTACAAGCATGTTGCATTAAGGAAGAGCAAACTTTTTGATATTCTTAGTATTAAAAAACTTGCACTGTGCATCCTTACATATTGTAATATGTTATTGCAGAGTTTTATGCAAGTATTTTATTTGTTGTACTTGAACAGTGTGTGTGTGTACTACATTTTGTGTGGTTTTGTTCAGCAGCATTTTTGCAGCAGGCCACTAAATGCATTTCTAATTTTAATTACTTTGAACAAACAATAAAAGCAATTTCAAACAATTGTTCTGTTCAAAATATTAAATATTTTGACATCTTTCAGTAAGATTGCAAAATAATTAAGAATTCCAGGTTGATTTCATTTTGAATTGTTGTTTTCACTTACTTTAAAAAAATAATATTATATATATGATATAATAGCAAGACAACTCTTACAAATTTAAGTGATATATAATATTTTTTTAAACTTTTGAGTAGTATGACTGTTCAACTTTTTGAAACCAATGCACCACATTTGTTCATAAAATGTTTTCACAAACATACACATAAAATTGCCCGATACATAGAATGTGTAAACTTTTCAATGATTGTTCTCCAGATGCATTTCATATTGGATCAAATATGTTTTTTGACTCAAGTTATACATAGTACACTTGTATATGAATAATTGTATCAGAGAATTCATTTATCTACTCTATACAATTTCTTTGCAATCTTATTCTTAAATAATGGACTTCAGTCTATTTATTTTTTTTAAAAAAAATGTATAATTTCATCTTCGAATAGTTCATGAATACTTACTTTTGAATAGTCATAATGCCGGAAAGGAAGATCAGTCAATGCATGGCCAATGTTAGGCAGGGAAGAGATTATGCGACGTCTTAAACTAACACCTCGCTCAGGGTCTCCAACAGCTTGCTCTAGTTGGTAAGCAGCTATCTTCTTGTTCGTCACAAGAAGAAGGACTTCAGTGTCAGTCAAGGCCTTTGCTCCAGCCTGAAACAATGTTGCAATTATAAGTAGGCCTGCATAGGTAGGCAAAGAAAATAGAATAAACAACAAACTATTTAATTTAAGACTGTCACAAATTCACACTGTTACCAAGAATGTGGATAATAATACTATGAAACAAGTTTAGCTTCATCAATAATGCCCTAATTTTTCTGTATTTAATCTTTGCAATTGGAATGTTATTTTCATTCTTTCCAACGATTTTAAATATTCTTGGAAGAAGTATTTTTTCAACTATTTTCTAACAAAAGTGTTCGCAAATTAAACACTTATCTTTGTAGTGTACATGTAATTCAATTACTCCTCTCCCTCTCCCATCAAACAATTTCATAACGAAGCGACCAGCCCCTTCCCTAGCCTATAGAGATAGTCTTTAATGATCCTCCAGGGTTATTTGAATCACTAATTTGAGAATGACTACAACAATCTGAATTTCTGAATATACTGAAAATAATATTTGGACACAAAGCAAGATTTAACAAACATTTTTTTCCTTCTTCTTCAGTGGTACCATGTCCACTATATATCATGTTTTATACAAAAATCTTTCTCATTCAAAAGAATAGAATAAAATATAAGAAAAGCATTTGCAATGAAATAAAGCTTTAGGAATAAGCATTTATTTCTGAACTTGAGTGGAGCCTCCAAATTATTGATTAGGAAGTCCATTTGCAAACTTGAAATTAATAATATTTTGGATATTTTTGATATTCATATAATGTATATACATGAAAATTTATAATATAATTTCCAATCAAAAGCAAAATGTATGCCATTGCTGTTGTTTCTATATTCAGTTAAAATATGTATCAATAGACAGTGACTGATGTTACACATGCTAACTAATATTGTTCACCGTAAAGATTTTTTATTTAGACAAAACCTAGAAGAAAAAAAAGGTTATTTCAGGGCATGCGTAGCATGGTAAAAGTTCAATTTTTAGCACTAGTGTTGTGAGACAATGCTCAAGAGTTCAGATAAATTTATTAAAAGTAACAAAGAAATTAAAATAATTTTGTCTCACTGCATCAGCTACTGCTGAAGACGTATGTTTCATGAAGTGACTTGTATACTTAAATTAACGTGAAATGGATGTCAGCAAGGCTGTTTAAAAAAAAGTGTATGACACACATGGCAAAAGTAATTTTATTTTACTCCTAGGATTATGCCACTCGACCCCTTGGTCTTGTGTCACATATCTTTTTAACAAAATAAAATGTCACTTTTAGCACATAAACAAACATTTAACCACTTTCATTTGCTTTGCATAGAAATGGCAATAGAATCAGCGTATCTTTTCTGGAAGCAATACTCCACAAGAAAACTTGTGTTTCACAACTCTAATTAAAATTTTCACTTAAACTGAAAATCTGCAAGTTTTTTTTCTCAACATTTAAATCTGCTAAATAATTATTTTTCTGTTGGGCACACCTTGTTATTTATTATTATTTGTTATTATGTAGATAATAAATGCAATACTGCCATTGACATTTCAATTTTTATGAAAAGGCACAATGTGCATTGCAATAAAATTACCAAGGCTGGAAACTATGTAGGTATTCTATGGATATAGGATTCCTATGTTTAGTATCACAAGGGAGATCACTCTTCAACATTACACACTTCAATACACTGACTGTGAGAGTATATGGAGAAAGTACTTACTTCAGATTTGTACAATGCCATACATTCTTCCAAAGAGCGAGGTTCTGAATCTCCTTTTACTTCTGGAGTTGCTTTACTTATCAGTTCTTCTATCTTCTCTATTGCAACCTCTGCCTCCGCAGTGGATTCAGTCTGAACAAATTTATCTTCCTGCGAAGGTCCAACTTCAACCCAGCCATCTGTAGAAGAGGGCCATTGAGGGGGACCTTTAACAGTGAAGTTCCAACTAAGATGTCACAACACAACTCGCATAGATATCTAATGTGCTATACCTAATGAACTTTCGAAAACATTACTATTTCAAATAAATTAAAGGAACTCGTGAGAGAACAATAAAACATGCTAATAGGATATTTCATCTTCAGTGGAGTGAGTTGTGATAACTGATCAGGATAATTAAGAGTTGAAAGTCATATTAATATGCTACAAGTTATATTTATTATGTTCTATTGATAAAAACTACTAAATAAAATCTATTAATTCTTGATGTTAAAATAAATGTTTAACTACTTTTAAAGAACCATTTTTGTGAAAACTAACAATGTATACACAAAAGAATCATTTGTCTAGAAAACTGCCCACATTCACTGCATAGTCACTATTGATAATGGTTTCAATAATGATTTATTAATGAGACATACCTGCATCTTTCAAATCTGGAGCCATTTCTTGATGCTTGGCTGGAGAGGGTGTAATAACAGAACGATCTCCAAGTAGTAGCTGCTCAGCAAGATCTTCTGATTTCTTTTCTTCAAAGAAAATGAACTTCACCGTGAGAGCCAGCAGAAGAATGAGGATGACAATGTGATCTGCACTAACAGTCAGCCACTTCATGAGGTAGCCATGGAGAGCAACATCTTCGGTGTGGTTGGACATGGTGTGCTCCCTGGCTACTAAAGGAGGTACTGGTCCTTCTTCACCCTCACTGGCAAAAGTCCACCGACTGGAATACAAAAACAAGGATATCAACTATATTACACATAGTTCAAGAGAAACCCCTTGCCCCCCTACCTTCCTCACAGAACACGCAAGACTCTACACAAACAACTACAAACTCTGTGGAACAAACAAACGTACACTGCACTTCCTCAGTGCCAGAAAACCAGCAATTCCTCTTTCTCAGAAAGTCCAGGGATGTGTGACACACATTCTTCTGGGTCCCTCTCTTCAAAACTGCTGTGGTAGGACTGGCAAAACATGAATGAGTTGCCTCATATTAATGTATCAGATAGAGACAGGTCACCTGACCTGAGATTGCAAACAACGAGATAAAAGTTTCCCAAAATACAATACAAGAGAACTGAAAGTTTGAGAAACATACGATGAACTATTCAAAAGATTTTAAATACCTCTTCATTAACATCACACAAAGCCTACACCAAGAGGTTCTGCGTAGTCTCTTTCTTTCTTCCTTGAAAGCCTTTACCTACCTTACTGAGCCTTCTATCTACTGTTCCAGCTTACCTCTGCTATTGGTTCAAGTACATTTTCCTTGTTATATACTTATTCAAAAACGTTTTTCTAAATTTTATAAACCCAAATTTGCACAAAGACCATGGACCACAATTCTGACTCATGACATTCAAAACACTCAAAAGAAACAATCAGGCACAAAATTAACATGAAAATAAGGCTTGAAGAGAAAAGTAACAATTGCTAAAGTGATTCATAGATACTCCAAAAATACTCCATCCTTTCATAAATATGAAATCAGGATACACAATTATAGTTAAAAAAAAAAAAGTTTTTTACATGAATCCAAGGAGCGTTTCTTTTCTTAACTCCAGTTAACTAAAATTAGTTATCTCTTAATCATTAGTGCAAGAAAGGGACAAACAATGACAATGAAATTATCTTTGTTCAAGGATAATAATCATAAAACATATGTAGTTCATGATATGAACTGTGAAATATTTTACCTATGAGCATGGACTAGCATGAGGCCAGCAGACATGATGACTTTTACACGCTGCACAACAGGATTAGGTTTCTGATCCTCTTCATGCAAAGCTCGCATAATTAGAGATTTGTCATGCCATGCAGGTCGGCCCCCTTCGCCACTTCTTGACAACTACAACACATTACAATATTTTATCAATCCAAAGAAGATAATTATTACAATGAATAATCAGTGGAAGTTACAGCATTGTAATTTTTTACTAAACAAAAACCATCAGTAGTTAGAACAAAACATGATACAGTATAAATATAAGTAGAAAAATAATTCTACTTATATATTTATTAAATTATATAATTATTAATTATTAAATTATATAAGAAAAGTAAAAAAAATGAGTATTATATTTACATTTTTAATAAGCAATGGCAAACTCACCTCGAGTATCAGTGACAAGCAAGCAGGGTAGAATGTCATAAATACAACGTAATTCACTATGACTGACATACAAGCGAAACAACACAACACTTCCAGACGACGAACACCTGTAACAAATTTATCACCCAGTAAGTACTTTTTGTAATTTTATAAGAGAAATTAGCACATAAATAAATAAACTGAACTCACCAGACAACATACCAACACCAATGACTAGAGTTTCCACCACAGTATCCAAGGTTATTGTGGGACCAAGTGCTGCCATGCCTCTGGCAATATTTTGTCTAACTTCTTGTTGGCTTCTAGAACTTAGTGCAAACTGAGCAAGTAAAGATGCTTTGCTCAAGTCAATGAGAAGCAGAAAAAAGAATAAGGCATCCCTGAAATTATTGAATACGATAAGTAAAGTTGAAATATTTAGCAGTAATGTGCAAACTTTCTTAAACAATTGTAGATCACTCACTTCAAGTCAGAGACATCACTTCTAGTGAAATTGATGACACTTGAACTGAACACAAAACTGGAGAACACTGTAAAAAGGCCAGCTATACCTGCAACAATACATTTAGGAGTAAACTTTAAAATGTTCAGTAGAGCAATAATAATGTTAACACATTTATACCACCATTTATAAAAATTCATGGGTGAGATGTAGCTATAAATAACTCCCTTTTCAACACATTTCTCAAGTAAGGCAATACAACCCAGTTTAAAACTATTAATTATTTTAGCTCTCTAATATAATGTAATCAAATATAGGTGCTTTGAGGTACTTTTATGAATAGCTACATATTACACAATATTTTCGATTAGGCTTTGGTTTTAGAAGAGCAGGTACACAAACTGAAGATTGTGATTATTTCTTTTTTGCCGTTTTTTCCCTTTCCTCCATAACAAGCTAGAATTTAACAACAAAATATCCTTTGTATCAAGTGATCAGTTACTTTGTCAAAGATGGCCATATATTTGATAATGTTTAGTATAAGAATATAATATAGTCGAATATCTGAGTAGAAAAGGCAAAACTAATAGTTACGAAAAACTATAATAGTTAAAAGGAAAGTCGATGTCTCCCCGTTTGTCAGGATTTCATTACGATGCCAAGGAGTGCAGTGATTGTGCCACACCAATCTCTAGTAGTTGCCATACGGGACATATGGTCGTAATGGGGGTTGTTGGCAGATAAGCCAAACATCGGGAAGTTCACGGATGAAAAATACGCATTGTTGTCCGTGTCCGTGAGAGGTACCTTAGGATAGTCTGGCGACTAGGGCTCGTTCGAACTAAGGGTTGCGAACTGGCGAAGAGAAGACGGGGATAGTTCCCCCAGAGAGTTTGCTACAAGAAAAAATATTGATTTATCCCGACCTGTGATGGAATTAGTCCAAACCTAGGTGTTTAGCAAAGAAATTAGACTAGACAATTATTCCATGAGCATTCATGGAGTTTATTCAAACTGTGCTCAAACGGAGGAGAGAGGCATGAAGGGTCTTCACCCCGAGTTTTGAACGCCCCCAGAGGGCAAGATTGCCAGCGCGCACCCTTCAGTACAGCTCCAACCGTTACATCCTTTACTGCAAAGTATTGTCAGCAACTGTATGAGCTCACTGACAACCACTGACATAACAAAAATCAAGCGAAACAAGCTACCTACCTGATTATGATGTCGAATAGATAAATTTACGTGCATACCCGTTCTAGCCGTTTCTGATTGTCATGAACGCAGCAGCAGTTCAAAGCGGATAGTAAGGACAGACAAGGACTCGCTATCACCGACATAATGCGTTCTGCTCGTGGTAGTACACCGGCATCGCGTAAAGAAACCATTGCACTCCGGTTGAGCCGATCGAACGCAAAGCAGGCGCATCGTGTCGGGCACCTTTTAGTCAACAATGTGGCGATGAAAGGCCAGGCGAACCTCGACCATACATCGCGCTTTCTACTCGTTAACCGGGCACTGCGCCGAGCTCAACCGCGCGAAGGAAGGAGAGAAGGAGCGAGGAAAGAAGAGAGGGAGGGAGAGAGGAGGAGAGGGTCGCGGTCTCGGGGCGTGGTGAGGCAAGGAGGGGCGGGGGGGGCGCGGCGCAGTGAACGCGCGTGCCGGTGTTCCGCAGGGGTCCGAGGGAAGCCACGACTCACACTCTCTCTCGCGCGCCAAGGTGAAGGTAGCGCCGATGCCGCCGCCCCCTCCCCGCCCCACGAAGTCCAACACAGCCCTCTCACTGATACTCTTCACAGCCCTGAGGTTAGCCGCCGAGGTGAGATGGCAATGCGCCTCAGTATTCAATACAGTTTCGCGCGAATTTAAAATGAACAGGAAAAAAATTGTGTAGTGTGTATGTTTTATATTTTCCAGTTTTCTAAAACAGGTTTTGGAAAAAGCATGTATTGTTCATTTTTCTACAATGCAAGTTATTTCACGAAAACAATCATTAGGTATACATACATTCAATTGTGAATTTGTTTTTTATTAGCGTTGTAGAAAGGAGAGCGGTACTGAGTGAAGTTCTTGATTCGACAGACCTTATTCCTTGTGACATGTTTCGCACCCATTTTGCTTCTTCCTTGTAAATGGTACTCACACAGGGATTATCTCTGACAATGAGTACTAACTTGGACTGGATATGTGTGCCGACAAGAAAGAATGTAAAATCGCAAGAAGACCAATCACTGCCGATATCTTAACCTATACCTGCTGCTTTATTGTGTGGAAAGAAAGAATTTAGCTGATATTTTTTCTACAAAACGAGAAAATCAATGATACATATTATATGAGCAATAAATAAATAAACAACTCTTAAGTTTAAGCGCATGTACGAAGAGGGTTTGCTGTCCTTTCCCTCTCGAAATGTGTTGCTCGCGACACGTAAAAAAAATCAACTTCCTTCACACTTACTGCAAAAGCTTATGTCTCCCATTTTACATCACTTTTGACACACAAAAATCAAGGCAGCAAGTCAATGGAAGAATGTAACATGCCTGAAGTATATCTTATATTTTGTCCGATCGTTTTCCAAATTGTGGGAGTGAAATAACAATCCATTATCCTGTTGCCTACATTCCTAGTGTACAGGCAATAAGGAAATATTTCTTGTTTGCACCAGAAACGATTCACTCAAGTACATTGAATAAATTTCCTCGTTCGAAATACATTCTTTCACATTTCAAAACCCACTTCTTCAACATGTTTAAGCAACCAGGGAAACATCGTTCAATTAGTACATCAAACACATACATTTACTTAGAGTGAAAGCATATACAAATGTTTTCATTCACAAAACTGATCTCGCGAGTCATATTTGTCGCACAATTTTCTTGCATGAACTTCAAATCAGACACCAGGTAATGATCTGTGCGGGGTACAGCTGGTGATTAACTCCAAAACAGTACCCAGACGCCACAGTAATACAGTTTAGGCGATGGTATACCGAAGGCTATACTGCGATTTTCGCAACTCTGCCCCGGGCAGGAATCAGCTGTTGACAGTTTCATCAAATCGGGAGCTTGAACGTCACCATAGTGGTGTCGCTCTAACGTCACTACAGTAACGTTTAAACTCCCGATTGGATGAAACAGTCAACAGCTGATGACCGTCGGAGACAGAATTGCATAAATCGCACCATACCAGAGGAGGGCACCAGGAGGCTGAGAAGCACGAAGCTCCGTGATGATTCTCAACCTTCTCAAAGACCCAAGGAAAAGGTAAAGGGTAAAATTGCCTTAAATTTACGCAAAATTATGAGGAAAATACTTAAATTTTCGAATAAAATAATTTCCCGATTTTTGAAGAACAGGTTTTATTAACGAAAAGCATATGTTTTCAATATTGTAGGTGTACAAAGAAGCCGCCGCTTTTTTAAACTTTTCCAATTTTCGAAAAATCAGGAATCTCAAGGAAAATGAGACGTACGCCGTTCTTTTAAGTGGACTTTACACTATCTGATAAAAAAGTTACATAAAAAATTGGAGCCATTTCTTGAAAATATTTTGAAAATTTAACGAGGCTTCATGTAAAGTACCTCCCCAAAATCAAAAAAATCATTTCAAACACGCAGGGCCCAAGTTCTTTAAATCTATGAGGGAATATTGTTTTTGGAGAACATTGTCAGAACGGTTTACGCCCGCCCCTTTGACCATGAACGTTTTGTCGTCAATCGATTTTTCGGAATCAAGGAACCAGAAAACATTTTTGTACAATGCGATTCCGTACAAGTCTTAAAGGAAGTAATTGACTACATATAGGAACAAGATCAATCCACTTTTACGTTACCAGGGCCCGATAATGAAGAGTTTTTTTTTTTGTAAACAAAAATAGGCGTGTTCTGGCGCACGATTACAATACTTTCTCTTCTTACGAAGCAAACTAGTAAGTAACAAAGGAAGGCGAGAAAGTAAAAAAATGAATACTGACCTGAACGGACTATACATACGTTTTTGTACAATGTATTTTCACTTCATATAATTCAGTAATTTACACTCCGGTCACATCCCTTGTCTTTTCTCTACTTCATTGACCCAGTGCAATAAGTAGGACACGATATGCTACCATACTAGTCATGCAAGTGACAAGCACCTTGTTTTGTTCAGGAGAACAAAAATCGAACAAATCACATCAGTGTCCCGTGACTTTTTGTTGTTCTCTTGCTTCTCTGTTGTGACTTGTGAAATATGAATCGTCACATTTTCTCGGGTGGACTGGCAATTTTACGGTCTGGCAGGATATCTCTTCAGAAAAAAATTATGTTAATGATGAAAGAGCGAGAACTTGCAGGGTGATTAAAAAGCAGCATATCCATGACGACAATTTCGGCAGGTACAACACGGCCATGTTTTTTTAATTCCCAGAATCCCATCGATTCAAATGATACAAGTATTTATAGAACTCATTTTGCTGTTGCGGCAGTTCGCATTGTAATAGATCAACAGCGCTATGAATTGGGTGCTCAAAAAATTACAGGGCTGGTTTTTCGCCACATTATAATATTTTATCTTCATGTAAAGGAATTCGATTAAATTTCTCACCCGCGTATAAATATGATATTTACCTTTCATAAGAATATAGAATAATTATTGTAAAAATTGCACCACACACCTAAGAGATTTATTAATTTCAAATAAACGGTTTACTTATATAATTTCGATGACTAGCTACATTTAAACCCCGAACACCTTTCAGCATTTTATATCATAAAATATAACAAAATATAACAGAGATAGCAAATTTCCAAAAATTATCATAGTTTCCGTTAAAAATAAACAAAGTATTGCACATAATATTGTATAATAACTTACTCAAATGCCACAGAAAATGTTTAAAAAATACTTTATTAGTGGTGTCATCTCTTCGAACATTTAATAATAATAATAATAATAATAATAATAATAATAATAATAATAAAATAATAATAATAATAATAATAATAATAATAATAGTGACATAATAATATTATTATGTCACAAATCGTCACACATTTTGGTTTCCTAATTGCATTTAATTTTCGAGAGTGCAAACGCATTAAATTTCACGCCCCGCGGCTGAAATGGGGCCGGAAACGCGTTGGGAAACGCGTTTCTCGTGTCGTTCGTCTTGCTCCCTCAACACAGCCCGGTAGAGCGCTGGTCACGCGCGAGTACCGCAGCCGCTCAAGGTGAAGGTGCCGGGGGCGTAGGCGGGGGCGGGGTGGGGATCGCGAGCGAGCGCCCTTGTGCTTCCGTCTGCGCATCCCGTTCACTTCTCTTCGCCCGCCGCCTCGCGCACTTTCACTTCGGAAAGCGCCCGCCCGCCCGTCCGCCATCCGCCGCCCCTTTCGCTCTCGCTGCGCAGCGCGCTCCGTGGCAGGCAGGCGGACGGACGGACGCGCCATGTGCGACCCGGCCCTAACCTACGCCACCGCGCGAGGGACGCTGCGACATCCGTAACGAAACAGCGATGTTCAAAAAATTAGAACTTCGACGTAAATCGCACATCGAGCGAAAACCATTCCTGGTTGTAAACATCGATGTTTTAAAGCTGGTTTCCCCTCTATTGTCCTCCTCCTTTTCTTCTCCTTCGTGCTTAGACAACATTGCAAGTTGCACATACTGATTGCTCCATCTCTTTTTGGTGGTCGACCAACCTCTCTTCTTCCTTGCGTGATTTAATTATACATTGCTCGTGAAATTCTCGAAGTATTCACTCTGTTTACATGCACGAGCCATTTTTCTCAGCATGCCGTTATTTTTTCCATTGGTGGCAAATAGAGTAAATTCTTTTCTTAAACTACTGCTTGTCTTATAGTTTGATTTGTAATATCCTACCACCCACCTTAGAAATTTCATTTCACTGGCAGTTTAGCAACTTAATGAAATTAAATTTGTGCTCAACAAAAGTTAATTTGACAATGGCAGTGCTTATTAATTTATAATTAAGATTTAACCGAAAACAAAGTGAAAAGTAATAAGAACAGTGGACAAAACAGAATCTGAAAGCTTGAGCGCCCTGGATCATATCAAAAGGTCAGTCGTCAGTGCGCCGAAGACGGAGGACGAGGAGGCCCTACGCCCACGGCGCACGCTTGTCCGCTTCGTCCTGGGCTAATTACGAGGAAAGACGTAGAATATACCCGCGTATATAAATGGGAGGCCAGAAGGAAAATAAGATTTTAACACATGTGTAAAATTGGGGACCGATCCAGAGAAGGAATTCGTAAATGGAGGACCTTTTCTCCTTACAGGTGAAAGTGGACGGCGACCCTTAATTTTCGAAGAACATTTTCGTAGACATTGTTTTTAAAACAACTCACTTCCAAATTACCCTCAGGACAGGCGTATTTATTTTAAATATGGTTTGGTTAAAGTATGTTTTCATTCAACTGAATCATTCGTTAATTGAATAAATTCTGCTTATCTTTCCATTGTTATGTTCTTCCTTTTCAATCTGCTAATATTCTATAACGCTAAATATGAAATTTGGACACTCTTCTAGTGATGTCTTTGCTTTTAATTTTGAAATAGCTAGTCTGGAAGATTTTGAATAAGGCACAAGGAAAGGCTGGAAAGCAGCAGGGCGGCGGCGGCCCCCTTAACGCGCCTACCTGCTCAATCAAACCTTTTCCTTACCTGGGTTGGTTTGGTCACCAATATACATGTAGATTTAGAAAGTAAGTTTAGCGAGAAAAGATAACGGGATATTTAGCCCTCAATCTGGATACGGCCGAACATATCAGGGCATTGGGATTAATTCGGGCGAGAGAGAGTTCGGTCGATTTACATACTTCAAACCGCTTACGTTTGGTT